AATATATTTAGTAAATAATAAATACTTATATATTTATTAGAATATTTAGGATAAAAATACAAAAATAACACATTTTTATTTTTATTAATATTTAACTTAAAAAATCACTTTTTTACAATATACTTCCTTTTTATTTATTTTTTGTACATAATTAATAAATGTTGTATATAATAAATAATTAATACCTTTATTTAGCAAAATTAGGGTTTGCCCTAGAATGTAAAAATATCCAAAATTATTCCTTTTTATTTTTGTTTATTTGTCACATAAAAAATACCTTTTACATACATATAAAAATCATTTTTTGCATCTTGCATATTTTATTGTATTTTATTTAATTATTGTGCAATTAATTAATTTATATAATTCAATTTGGATGTAATAGTTTAGATTTAATTTTTCTTGCTAAATATCTCCCATTTGAACAATTTGTACCCCCCATCCCATAATTTGTGTTGTAATAATTTAGGACCTTTAAATTCCGCATTTAAAAGCTTTCTAAATATGCCATGATAGAATTAGGGTTTTGTATGCCAAAATCAACCAAACAAATAGCTTGACCTAATTCAAAGATAACAAAGCATGAAAATGGACAACACCAATCACACTTGCACCCCTTAGGGTTACTCCACTTGTTGCCTTCAATAATGGGCCATATTGCATGTTGAGTGTTTTTGGCAAAACAAACAATATCAAATGATCATAGTCCCTCGATGACGCTTTCGAAAGTTGCCTAAAAGTGATCAAGTCCCTCAAAGGAAAAGTTGCCAAAGACACTTGGCACCATTGCAATCATGGTCTAAACGATGACCCGCGCCCGTCCCGTTCACATTCTAACACAAGATAGTCCACCAAATACAATGGTGGAACAAAATTGTTAAAAGGGTTAAAACATAGCAAAGATCTTTGAGAAATTTAGGGTAGATAGCTCTTGGTTACTTGCCAACTTGCAAAACAAAAACACTTGCCTATTTTTTCAAAACCACACTCCACAACACATTTTCAAAACAACCTTCAAAAACATTGAAAACTTTTCAAAAGATAAGTACACTTTTGTATACATCCCAACATGGATCATTACAAAGGTTGCCACCACATTGGCCTCTTTTCAAAACATTTTCAAACCCACACACAAAGCACCATTTCAAACAATTGAAAATCAAGGCAAGTTGATCTAAGCAAGTAACTAAGAGCCCATGGATAACCATGGATAGAAAGGGTGCTAACACCTTCCCTTTCTATAATCTACTCCCCGAACCCAAGAAAACATCTCAAAGGTTTTTGCTGTGCTTTTTAACCTTTCCTTAGGATAAAATAAAAAGTCGGTGGCGACTCTTGCTAAACCGAAACATTTGCGAATACAAACGCAAAACCTCAAGTCAGTTCTCCCACCGTATCACACATGGTAATCAGAAAATTCAAATAGCTGATGGTAATACTTTATCTATTACGGATATTGGCGACATCAACTCTGATTTTCGGGACGTGCTTGTATCACCTGGACTTGCGTCTAATTTATTATCTGTTGGTCAATTGGTAGATAAAAATTATGATGTTAACTTTTCTCGTGATGATTGTCTTGTGCAGGAACAGGTGTCGGGGAGAGTGATCGCGAAGGGGCCTAAAGTGGGAAGACTGTTTCCACTCCAGTTTATTTCTAATCATATATCTCTTGCTTGTAATAATGTTTTGAACTCTTATGAGGATTGGCATAGAAAATTAGGTCATTCAAACTCTGTTGTTTTGTCCCATTTATTTAAAAATGGTTTGTTGGGAAATAAAAATGTTTCTAATGCCTCTATTTCATGTTCTGTTTGCAAATTAGCTAAGAGTAAAACACTTCTTTTTCCATCTGGTGCTTATCGTGCTTCCACTTGTTTTGACATGATTTATAGTGATGTATGGGGTATATCTCCTGTAGTTTCTCATTCTCACTATAAATATTTTGTCACATTTATTGATGATTATAGTCGTTTTGTTTGGATATATTTCCTTCGGTCTAAATCTGAAGTGTTTTCTGTGTTTAAGAAATTTTTAACATATGTTGAAACTCAATTTCAAGCAAGTGTTAAAAAATTTCGCTCTGACTCTGGTGGTGAGTACATGTCTCATAAGTTTCAGGAATACCTTCAACAAAAAGGCATCTTGTCGCAACGATCTTGTCCCAATACCCCTCAACAAAATGGTATTGCAGAACGGAAGAATCGTCATTTGCTTGATGTAACACGCACATTGCTTCTCCAAGCTTCAGTACCATCCCGATTTTGGGTAGAAGCTCTTTCCACAGCTGTCTTCTTGATCAATCGTCTTCCTTCTACGGTTATTGAACTTGATTCTCCTTTCTTTCGTCTTTTTAAAATTCATCCTGATTATAGTGCTTTACATACTTTTGGGTGTGTGTGTTTTGTTCACTTACCTCCTTTTGAAAGGCATAATCTTGGAGCACAATCAGTTCAATGTGCATTTATGGGATATAGTCACTCTCATAAGGGATTTGTGTGTTATGATGTCACAAACCATCGTTTTCGCATTTCTAGAAATGTGACATTTTTTGATAATCAGTTTATGTTTCCCTGTGTTTCTCCTGCCATTAATGATATTGTTACTCTTCCTACGTTTTCTATTATGCCTCAATCTATAGAACGTTATAAACCAGGTCATGTATATGTCAGAAAACACAGACAGCAGGTTCCCACACCCCTTCCCAACGCTGAATCGCCACCTGATCCTGTACCGGTTGAACCACGGCGTTCTGGTCGAATATCTCGTGCACCAGATAGATATTCACCAGACAAGTATGATTCCTCACATACTTCTCTGACTGCCACACTCTCTAGCATATCTGTTCCTACTTGTTACTCACAGGCTGTTAAGGATGTGCGATGGATAAAAGCAATGAATGAAGAGCTTCAAGCTCTTCAAGAGAATTTCACATGGGATATTGTCTCTGGCCCTCCCGATGTAAAACCTATAGGTTGCAAATGGGTGTATTCTGGGAAATTAAATTCTGATGGGTCCCTCAACCGTTACAAGGCTCGTTTGGTTGCGTTAGAAAACAAGCAGGAATATGGAATTGATTATGATGAGACATTTGCACCGGTTGCCAAAATGACAACTGTCCGCACGATCATCTTTATAGCTGCTTCTAGTGGTTGGACTCTTCATCAAATGGATGTGAATAATGCTTTTCTTCATGGTGACCTGAGAGAAGATATTTATATGACTCCACCTCAAGGCTTATTCTCGTCATCTAAAGGCGTGTGTAAGCTCAAACGCTCCTTATATGGTTTGAAACAGGCACCTAGAGCATGGTACGAGAAATTCCGCTCCACTCTACTTGGATTCTCCTTTATTCAGAGTTAGTATGATTCATCTTTATTTATTCATAGCACATCTACGGGTATTATTCTGCTTCTTTTGTATATTGATGATATGGTTATTACTGGTTCGGATCATGCTTCCGTTCAGCGACTTAAGCAACAGTTACAAGCCTCATTTCACATGAAAGATCTGGATAATCTACATTATTTTCTTGGTCTTGAGGTTCATTCTACATCCAAGGGCATCTTTCTCCATCAACACAAGTATGCTACAGATTTGATTTCTATGGCCGGTCTAGAATCGGCTAACCCGGTAGATACTCCTCTTGAGATTAATGTTAAATATCGTCGTGATGATGGTGATCTTTTGCCTGATCCCTTATTGTATCGACAACTTGTGGGCAGCCTCAACTACTTGACTATTACTCGCCCTGACATATCTTTTGTTGTTCAACAAGTAAGTCAATTCATGCATTCTCCTCGTCATCTTCACTTGGCTGCGGTTCGTCGTATAATTCGCTACTTAAAGGGAACCTCTCACCGCGAATTATTCTTTTCCGTTGGAATCTCTCTTCAGTTGAGTGCTTATAGTGATGTTGATTGGGCAGGGTGTCCTGATACTCGTCGATCTGTTACTGGTTGGTGCATGTTTCATGGTTCTTCATTGATCTCTTGGAAAAGTAAGAAGCAAGCAAGAGTTTCTAAATCTTCTACTGAATCAGAGTATCGTGCCATGTCTGCTGCTTGTTCAGAAATACTTTGGCTTCGTGGTCTTTTGGCTGAACTTGGATTTCCCCAAACAGAGTCAACTTCACTTTATGCTGACAATACAAGTGTCATTCAAATTGTTGCAAATCCTGTTTTTCATGAGCGCACCAAACATATCGAAGTTGATTGTCATTCAATACGTGACGCCTACGATAATCAAATAATATCACTTCCTCACATCAGTACTCAGTTGCAGGTTGCAGATATTTTTACCAAGGCTGTTCCATGCCCACGACATCAGTTTCTCGTTAGCAAATTGATGCTCCTTGACCAGCCGCATCAATTTGAGGGGGGATGTTAATCAGGAAATAATCAAACACATTTATTGTGAATAATTTACATTCATAGAATAGAAAATTGCCATTATAAGTTGTAATTAGTTATAATGAGTTGTAATTAGTCATTATGAGTTGTAATTACCGACACTATTATATATAGTATAAATGTAATGAAAAAGGCATCAAGCCAGAATTCATGACAAGTTGAACCAAATGTTGCAATCAAAATTAGAAGCCAATGTAGAATTATGAAGTCAAGGAGACAAGAGTATAATAAAATGAATAAATTGCCGACCAAAGTTTCTTGTGATAGTTAGTGGCTTAGAACAATCTAATGAAGCTGTTAGAGTTCTTCACGTCATCTTTTCTATTATAACTTTCATTTTCATTTGGAAAAAAAAAGAGACAAGGATGTGAATTGCTGACTTTGTCAATCACGTGGGCAGCCTATCATATGGTAGACCATACTATACATGTACATGGCCTCACCTGAATAAGTCAATCACATAAATAAGTTAATTACCATTCTCTCTACAAATTTGTCTTCCAAAAAAATGGAATAAGCAATCATCCTTCAACCTTGACTAGCTCCAAAACAAACCACTTTTTAAATGTGGTGTTGCTTGGACGGAGTTTAGTCTCTACAAGGGTTGCTTCTTATCTGTGCAACAATGACTTATCATTTTTGTATTTCTATCACATTCATATGATATAAGGTAATGAAATAAATCTATATACTTGGGTCCACAATAGAAAAGGATACCTGTTGAAGTCCTCTACCACATTGAGTATTCAAGATAAAGGACATTATTTCTTCATTCCTCATCACTAGTAAAATATCCAAAACCACACATTCAAACAGAACAAATTTGGTGACTTTTCTGAACTGATAATCATATTAAGGGGTGAGGAAAAAGTTCTGAAAACAGAATCCATTTTGAGGATTCTGAAATGAAATTTACATTTCTACATTCAGAATGTAAGATCTGTGCCGGTAAAAATCTTAACCAACTGAGATCATAAAAAAAGGAAAGCAATTCCCATAAAACCAAACGTCTTCGATCAGAGCTATTATGAAACATAGAGCAAGCAAGACAAAAACAATGTTAAAAGCCAAACGGAAACCACAAACCCGAGTTACTTGCTGCAAGTAGTTTGATGACCTAAAGACTAAAATCAGCAATGAACTACAAACATACACGTCACCACTAACCTACAATTCTGGTAGTATCTGCAACTGCATCGCATGCTAATTTTAGTGTTTCAGAAACTCAAAAAATTAACTCGTGTAGAGACTGAGAATGTATCAGGCCTCAAGGTGCTCTCCACTCTTCTTCTGTATTAAGTATAAATTGAGGGAGTTTCAGGTAGCTCAAAGGACTTTAGAAGAGGGGTATGAGATGCATCATAGAAGATTACATTTAATACAGATAAAATAATACATGAACTAAATTCAGGTCAAAATAACTGCAATATGCATTCCAACAACCACAATTTAGAACCATTGCTTGGCTTCATAAAATAGCCAAAAGACTATTCACACAAAACCAAGATAGTAATCCTTACACATGACGCATTATGGAGCTCAAGCTCTAAAAAGCTGTAACGGATTTGCAACTTATGCGCTCTAAAAAGGTTACAACTTACAAAGTGGTTTTTGTAAGAAAGTTAAAACCATTGGCTAATAGAAGCATCCTGCTACAGTTTTTCGACTTCATGAGCAAAAACTAATATAGAATTGGGAACCCAAAATATGTTGGAACAACCTTTAAGTGGAGACACCCTTTAACTTAACTACTCTTTGCAACGTTGTTGGCGCCGGAAAAAGAACTTACTGAAGGAGCTGGTTCAGAACATGCCTTGAGGACAGCTTCATTCTTCCATAAAATAAAATAAAAAAAGTACCATAACATTAGCCAATTGGCATTCACAGATGATGTTCTATCTTTGAAAACAAATAATACATGAACAAAAACAAAAGGAATGTCTCATCAACCACAGCAGATAACGTAACAAACAAACATCCTTAATCATTTTTTCTATGCATGAGGAGCCTATTTAATTAATGACATAGAATGCTAAGCTAATATAACAGATACGCATAAGAAACTAAATTAGCAGGGTTGATTGCAAGTTGCAGGAGGTGTTATTCAAATACCTGCCACACACGGAGAAGACGCTTCTTGGCATTGGCTTTACGGGTAGTGGTGAGTTTGATTCTCTTCCAAAGGAGTCCTCCAGAATCATGCTTCTTCACTTTCTCCAACACGCGCGTCGCCCAAAATGCACCAGCCATCTATTTTAATTTACCTACAAATAAATACAAAAAGATCAGATTCAATTAAGATTTCATTTGGCACAAGCATCACCTTATTTCTTACACTTCCCAGTAGTCTGCAATCAATATCAATAGAAAATATATAATCTTCATTAGTTTGTAACACTAGACACTATACATAACACTAACAAGTTGTTAAAATAATGAACTGCACATAAAAACAATAATATAATTATAATAAAATGGACCGGTCATCAAACCAGTGAGGGTACTCGATCACTGGTTCATCGGTCAAATCGCTTGGATTAAACCAGATAAATCGGTTAAATAGACCAGTCATTATAACAAAACTATATAGGTATAAAACCGATCTTACCGGATCATTCAATCTGTAAAAAAATATAACAAACACTTACATTTTTTGAAAATATCATATCATAAATTCATAAGTTATTAAAAAAAAAAGTCCTTCAATTGCTACTATCACTGAGTCTTTTAATTTGCTATTCTTCTCAGGTGGTGTTGTTAAAGTACAATTGCTAGTAACTAATGGTAGTTCCTTTAAAGCATACATACTCGATAATAATTTAAACGGAAATTCATCTAGCAATGTAAATAGAAATTGGATTTATCGCTGATTCCATTTCCAGTGAGAAGCAAAAAAGATATGAGATGATGAAAAATAAGAAAAATAAGAATGATGGTTTGGATTTTGAATTAGAGAATTGAAGTGACCGTGACATTCTGAGCGATTGTGAATTGGAAAATTAGAAAAGTACTAACCTTGATATCGAGGGAGAAGAAGGAGGTGGAGGATGTGTAACAGTCAAGTAGGGTTTGAAATTAGATGGATGGCCCCAAACCCCTCTCAACACAACCATCCAATGGGTTGGCCCAAATATTAACTCCAACCACGTCAAATTTGTAATATCTACCTCACACCCCCCACATATTTTTATAATGCCGTAAATACCTGTTTTTTTCTTCTTCTTCTTGCAAAAGATATTTTGTGGATAGTAATAGTTTATAGGAAGTTTAAAAAGAATCTAGTATACTGAATATTATCCTCATTCCTAAATATTCAATACTAATAATTTTGTATATATTTCATTCTACACACATTTTGTTATTCTACATACATTTTGTTCGTATACTGTTATTCACCGTCTTAAATCATAGATGCTTGAACTCCACTATAACATATGTGAAGAGAAGATATTTTAAAGGAAAGTCAAACAAGTCAAACATACTAACGTCCGGAGAGCATAAAAGTGGTGCCATAGATCGCTCGAAGTTGCACCACTTGTCCACAGAATTTCGAAGGATTTTAGAAGGATTTTCCCACGAATCTCCTTATACAAGGAAATCAAGTTTTTAGGCTACTTCTAACCAAACAGCAAATAAGTCTTAGAGAAATTAGTCTCCAAACCAAACAAATATTTTTCCACAAACTAATCTCAAACCAAGACATAATTTCGAGTTGGTTATCCTCTGAACCAAATTAGGGTTTTGAACAGGCTGTCCATAATCCGATATGAGATTTTTATCAGGCTGATATTGAACATACTAAGCTTTATACCAAGATGAACTAATAAACCAAGAGAGATTTTAACTAGATTGATCTCGATCATAGAGCTTTTAATCGGATTGAGCTCAAGAACTCTTGTGGAGATTTTACCGGCTGGTCTTCACAGACCAAAAGAGAGTTTTTTTTCTTCAAGGCGTATCTCACAAACGAAATAGAGACTTTTAAGACAATCTCCCCAAAATCCAGAGCTTTTAACTGGTTTAGCTCGCAACTAAAATGATAACTTTCTACAGAAGAATTATTTACTCAAGAGATAATACACTCTTGATAAATTTACAACTTTTCCCTCACCAAAAACAGTTATCCTCACTTTGACTCAAGACTACTCTTGAAACACTATGGTTAAATATATGTGACAAAAATAAGAGATTTAGAGAAATGATGAGAGGAATGAAAATTGATATTTAAACTCATTGTATGGTTGTGAAAAGTGATTTAGAAGCTCTCTACTTAGAGACTAAGGCGTGGTGTAAATTTGAAAATAACCCATGAGCCAAATCAATGTATATAATCGATTAGGATAAGCTATTAGACACCCAGAATAATCAATTGTAAAAGATACAAATGGAAGATTTATATATATATATATATATATATATATATATATATATATATATATATATATATATATATATATATATATATATATATATATATATATATATATATATATATATATATATATATATATATATATATATATATATATTAGAATCAACCAAACATGTTCTAATCCAATAGGTTAATGGTCTAATTGATTATTAAGTTAGAAAAGGTCTTCTCATTAATCCAACACCTTCCTAATCAACCAGTTAAACCTTAAAAACATGTTTTAGTGGATTAAATAAAATAATTAGAGTCTTCTTAAATATATTTAGGGTGTGTGATTTAGATATTAAATTTCCTAAAATACCCTTGTGTCTTTACAAGACATTGGTAACTCAAACAGACACGACTAGTCGAACTTTCAATTTTCCTATATTTCATAACTCTAAAGCTTTAAGTCTTTGAATCATTTTCTTTGAGTTTTGAATCATACAAGAGCTTTGAATCTTCTTAATGAGGCTTGTGATATTTTCATCTTGATCGCCATAATTTTTTAGGTTAAACCACCAGTGACCCTTAAAACATAAGTCTTCACTTGAAAGGCATTAGACCATAGTGTTAATTTAAATAGATGTCTTGATTTTCAAGATCATAACTTAATTCATGAGGATAACTCCATCAACTACATTATACATGTATGGCCGCTTGAGCTATCTTCAATGAATACTTGAGTTCAGTTGATATTTTTTTATATTAAGTGTTGTCATTATCAAAATTAAACAACTACTCATTTATCTTGTAACTTTGCTATCCATAAGCTTCATTATCTTGGATCACATTGATTATACCTTCACACACACACAAATATATATATATATATATATATATATATATATATATATATATATATATATATATATATATATATATATATATATATATATATATATATATATATATATATATATATATATATATTCTCCCATTTTTTTATGATGGAAATTCATCTCTCAGGGAGGTGGTAAAAGAGAAAATAAATATATAAATTTTTAAATGGTTAAACTCCCTCTCATATGAATAGAGAATATACTTTACTCCCCCTAAGAGTTACTTCTCCCTCTTTTTCATAATAAAAAAGAAGGCTAAATATGTAAGGCACAATTTTAAATATGCAAGCACATAATTCACATAATAGATCAAACATGATTTAGCTAAAGAAGGAAAGACACATAGTTATCATAGATCAGATGAATTTAATCAAACAATGGATAATTTCTTTAACTTAAGCTTCTGGAGTACAAAGAAAAAGGGAACAACATTGAGGAATGATAAAAAATAGAAAAGGAAAAATCATCTAAAATAGACAAGCAAACAAACAAACATCTTATTCACCTTTTCATCATCATCGTTGGATTTGATCAGAGATATGAGACTGCATTCGATGATCTTGCTAGAGAGACGATAAGTCCTTGACTCGGTCCTCCTTTGCATTCTCAAAATTTTCGGTTGATTATGGATAGTGTTGTTGAAATGAGCATCTAAGGAAGAAGTGGGAGGGATTTCATAATCAAAATCCTCCGGATTTTCATTCTTTATTTGTTGTTGTCGGGTAGGAGCTCTATTTGGTACTTTTGGAGGTAACTGAATTAGTACCGCATTTTTACCCTTATTCTCATCAAACATAAGGTGTTTTTTTCCTATTCATGAGTGTTTAATCTCTAATTCCTAATTCTCTAAACTGAAGCCAATATGCTCTAGGATTTTTGTTACTAGTTCACTATATTGTAGAAGCATATTTTTCTTTTTGATCCCCATCATATAATATATCACCGTGCTAACCCAATTCTTTACAACTATATCATCCAATAACTAAACTAGAGTTGTGCCAGATTTCTTTATATGGCTAGAGTTTCTTTTTCTTGGGAAAAGCCCATGATTCACCACATATTAAATTATATGAATATTCGGGTGTATTATACTAACAGTGAAGGGAGAAGGAATGATAGAGTTTAGATTTAACATGAAAGAGATAGAAGCCTTTATAGTATTAAAGTTGTTACCTTCTTCATTAACATCATAGATGAAGTCGGTGTAAGGAAGGTTGAAAATATTTGCAAACTCTTCAAGATTTAGCTGAATCTAGTGTTTCTTTACTTCAATGATAAGAACTACATCTACATAGTTAAGGTTAGCACAAAATGTTCTCACCAGAGTAAAAAATCTCTATTTAGGTACTTCATACATGAAGCCCTTAAAACTCGCCTCCGCAAAATCTTGGACAAACGCATACTCCTTGAAAATTTTCTCATCCAAGTAGCAAGACTCAATAAGCTCTCTTTTTACATAGTAACAATTGAAGTTGTTGTTAAGAATTTTAGTTTAGGTCTAATTCATCCTTACATAACCGACTTATAGGATGAGGATTTCCCCCACTTATAAGAACATGTTCATGCCATATATTGTCTGATGCGGGAATCTTAACACCCTCTCATGCCCAAAACTCTATATCTAGAACATAGAAATAAATGGTGGGTAGCCCGATAGTGAAAACCTGATAGCATGTGGATCATTTGATCTTAAATAAGGCTTTGATACCATGTTAAGAATTATGGTTTTTGTCTAACTCATCTCTACAGAATCGACTTGTAGGGTGAGAATTGTCTCCATTTATAAGCACATGTTCATGTCATATATTATCCGACGTATGACTCTTAATAGATGTTTTCTTTCTCATGGGATGAAAAAACTTATGAGTAGTAGGAAGATGTAGCTTTAAAGTTGCGTGGTCTCTTTGGTGCCATAGATGATGATGAAGAACAAAGAAGAAAATTTTGCTCTAAAACACTCAACTATGCACACAAGAGAGAAAGGTGGAATGAGATAA